GTCATGACAGCTGGGATTGCTGGAGCCCCAGTCCAGTGCTCGGATATTGAGGTGCTTCATATACCACCCCCCGGAGGCCAAAGTTGCTCGAGCTACCTCGAAGCGTTTACCAAGATGGCGAAAAGCACCTTGCTCAACCCCGAGGCCGACAGCGACTGTCAAGTATGTACCATGTCCACGACGGATCAATTCCTGGCGGGGGTGAATATTAAAGCCTCGGAGCTGTGGCGCAATGTCGGGATCTTGTTTGTGTATATCGTGTTCAACACGGCAGCGGCAGTCTTTTTGTACTGGCTGATCCGTGTACCGAAGAAGAGGGCTCTCAAAAAGGCCAAGAAGGAATGAGAGGCCGAAGAAACAGAGGCTGCGAGAGGGGGGTGGCTGTATGATCTATCGTTGAATGACTAGTCAATGTATGCTGCTAGAGGAGGTCATTGAGGGTACTAGATCTGCCTACTAGTATTAGATCTGCCCAATTGCTTATTCTATGTTCTACGCGATGTCTTTAGTGAAACAACACCGAAATCAACATTAGTTTGCTACCTATCCAGGTTATTTCACCTACCATTTCATTGAGGGAGGCGGGGTGTTTGGATGTCCGTACATATGATGTTATTTTTGATCTGGTGGCAATATGTATAGAGAGAGATATGCTGGAGTATGCAATACTGGTCGCGCATCGTAACAATATATATATCCGGGGTAAGTTACAAATGCCCCACTCAAACATATCTCAGGTAGTTAACACTTAAATGTAGCATACAATCTAGTTGACCGATGCACAAGGTTCTTTCAATATTATTAGTATTACTAGTAGTGAATTCACGCTACTATCTATCTTATTGGGTTACATGTCGAGCCAAACCGGCTCTTTGCCGCCCAACTCTTCTGCCGAAGCCCAGCCACACCATACCCCATTTGGAAGTCTTGATGGTGCGCCCAACGAAGTACAGATCTGATACCTGATATATCAGGCACTGATATTCTCATGACTCCGCTCCGGAAGCTATGACGCATTTCAGGATACGCTCGAAATCGTGTGTACTCCGTACTACTAGTACACTCCGCTGGCTGATGGATCATGAGCTGATCCCTGCGGTATATGGACTCTGGTCCAGACACTCAGGGTGAAACGACAACTTTGCCCGGTGGGCTGAGCAAGGTGAACTTCAATCCCCGATTTTCCCTGATAATCTAGGTAGTCTATCTTATGTGCAGATGAAGCGTCTCAGCCACAGGGACACAGGAACCCGTCTCACCGCAGTTCTTGCGGTGTAGAAGGATGAGCTTCCCTTCCGCTGGGCTTTTTTAGAGAAATCTAACTTTAACTAAAAAAAAAAAAAGGAAACCAAGGAAAAAAAGAAATCATAAAAACAATATTTTTTTTTTCTCTTTTCCTGTTTTCTTTTCTTACTGACAGGAACATAAGCAAAGTGACAAGAGCATGACTCGTGAAGATGGTGGTCAGCCGGAAAGATTCCAGCGTGGTTCTGGGGCAGGGTTTCGGGTACTGGAACTGAGGGGCCGGGCTGCCGAAAGCCAATAACTACCCTCAATGGCCGGCCACTGGTGGTCACGCTGTGTACCGACGGTATTTTATCAGGTATTTTGGGGGCGGTAGAATGGTGGACTGAAATGGATACCTGAGGTCCGTTTCGGAATCTTCCCTCTCCTCGTCCGTCGTCTTGTCAGGACCTCATGGTCTTCCACTATCTATTATTATCAACCTTCTCAAGTCGATCTGTCTCCCCTCCCTGGACGCTATTTATAATGTCGCGCGTTTAATGACAGGAGCACAATGATTCTCTGTGGGATAAACGCAAGGTGACTGCGGCAGCGAGGATCTCTCGCGTTACGATTCCTGAACGGGACAAGAGTCAGAGAGAAGGATGCATTCATGCGTCAATCCATTGGGACGGGCGAAAACGCCCCAAACTGTCAGCCACTGAGCGAGAGCGATGGACATTTGATCCCGCCCTTTCCAGTTATCCCCTGCAGACGACTCCATCACCGTCGATGCCTGGAATTGGTTCGCTTCCAGTTACAATCGGGGAAATGAAAGCTGATGGGCTCGATAAGACTTCCTTTCCCCACGAGTCCGTCACCGTGGATTGTGGGTACGACGGACTGGTCGTGCATGGACTAATGCATTTTTGGCTTTCTTAGCAGCACTGCCCGAGGGTACTGGCACTGAGGCTGATTTGGCCTTTGGCTGCACTCCGCGCAAAAATCTCCCTTCATTCCAAATGATCCCTGACTTGTTCGTTTTCTTTTTTTTTTTTTTTCCTCCATTCGGTTGCCTTCATGAATACATCTCTGGGAGGATTCGCGACCGGCAACTGCAGTGCATCCTCTTTTTTGACAATATGCACGTGGAAACGCGGCTTTGAAAGCCAAAACTGTCGTTGACGACAGCAGATCCTGGAATGGAATCTTCCGAAGTCCTTTCCTAAATTCATTCCAGACTGACAGCGCGTGAGGCTCTCTTAGGTTGGATCATTCGTGTCCAATCATTTGCCCTAATGGCAAGCATTCGGAGCTATCATTATGGCGGTTCCTCCACCCCTAATCGTGAACCACGAGGGCACCCACCCTTGTAGCCGAACAGCCACTTGTTCGACTCCTGTCGGATTCGCTGCAAAAGTAATTAAACAGAAATAAAATTGCTGAAAAAGGGGGGAGGAAAAATGCTACGAATGGTCCATCCGAGTAGCCCCGGTCTGCGCCAAATGACCATTCCCGACCGCTGCAGGGGCGGCGCTTCCCATCAGTGTCGGAGTACGTATTTCCACTCGATGACGATCACTTTTTTTGGACGGTTTGGTTTTCAGAGGATTTGCGGCTCTACATCAGCCATTCAGGATCGCCGATCGTCATCTATTTTCTCAGCTTGGTTCTGGCTTTGCCCGGGCACCCAAGGTGAAAACACATGCTGGTCGAGGTTCTCAGCTGGAAATAAAAATGCGTGATCGCCCAGAATTATGACGCTTGGTGTTGTTTCCTTCTCGATCAACTCCCCCCATCTATCTGTTATCCCAGCAAGAAAGCATTACCGGAACCCGTGGACGATGGACGACCCCAACTCTTTTACCGACCCTCAACATTCCACCACCCAGGACTACGAGCTCTTCCCAGACCCAGACTCATTCGCTGATCCTGTGCTTTGCCAACGCACTGCTGAGATCCAACGCCAGATATCCCATGTTGACCACACCATGAAGACTTCGTGGCTTCCCTCGCCCATGTCTCTATCGACCCCAAGCGTGCACCTAGATCAAACCAGTTCACCTTACAGCATGGAGGCCAGAGCCTATCCTATGGTGTCTGACGTCTCCCCACCCTTTGGTGGTGGCTATTCATCCACCAAAGCTGAAAGTCCTCCAAGCAATAATTGGGGAAACATGGGATGCTACATGTCCCCGCCTTCCAGCTGCGCGGATTCAATGCTGCCGCCACTCGATCATTGGGGCTCTTGCTCCCCAGGCCCTTCTGTGAATGTCGAGCCCTCCGTCGCTCCATCTCAGATTGTGCAGAACTATCCTATGCCCATACCGATCGCTGAACTCGAACTCGATGCTCCACTTGACCCTGAACTCGATGCTCAGCTCGACGCGGAACCCATACCAGCCAACGAACCAATCCCTATGCATAGCCATAACATGTACGAACACAGCCAACTAGACCATGCCAGCGACACACTCAGCTATCTCGGCGCAGGACAAGCCCCTAACCAGGACTCATTGGCCTTGCCTAGTCCCCCACGTGTGCCGGCAAACACGCACGCTGGTCAGAGAGAGGCAACGCGCTACAATAACGGCAGGCAGAAGGGTTCCCGCAAGAGGGAACCTCTTACCTCCAATTCTATCCGCGTTTCTCGGACGTCCTCCAAATCAAAGACCGAGAAAGGCACACGGCCCCGTCGTACCTTTGTTTGCACCTTCTCCCGCTATGGATGCACTAGCTCCTTTGCCTCTAAGAATGAGTGGAAGCGACACGTGACATCACAGCACGTCCAGCTAGGATTCTATCGCTGTGATGTGGGCCAGTGCAATATCAACAATGCGACCAAAGCCAGGCCCATGAGCTGCACCAATGATTTCAATCGCAAAGATCTTTTCACCCAGCACCAACGTCGGATGCACGCACCCTGGGCCAAGTCCAACCAAGCCACTGAAGAGGAGAAGCAACAATTTGATGCAGACCTCGAGGCGGTGCGCATTCGATGTTGGCATGAACAACGCCGAGCGCCCCCTCGCAGCGCATGTGGGTTTTGCGGAGAGGAATTCGCTGGCTTTGAAAGCTGGAATCAGCGGATGGAGCATGTCGGTCGCCACTACGAGAAGGGTGATATCGCCCTGGACTCGGAAAAAGAGGACATTGCCCTCCGCGACTGGGCTGTCCAGGAAGGAATCTTGTCCTGGAGTGGCGGCAGGTGGAAAATCGCCTCTCGCCGTTAGAAGTAATGAGCTTTTCTTTTGCTGTTCTTTGCATTGTCTGCATTCATGGTTACAGCCTTTTCTTGCATCACGTTTTCACTTTAATAGCGCACGGCGGTGTATTGGCATGATTGATGACGGATATCCTGTATTTGATAAGTCTTGCTTTGTGTTTTTGATGTAGCCTTTTTGTTTTCTGTGTTGATTTGGACGCCCCACATGCTATATTGCAAAATACCCATGAGCACTTAGGATTTAATGGATGTACCTGGTATTTCACGATGGCGCGCAGACAAGTACATAGATATCTAGATTGCACCTAGCTTCGAGCTAATCTATGGGTCGTTGGATTATGATCCGATTGAGGGTCCTTATATTGGCATCTGTGTTTACTGTAATCTAATCGAATGTTTCCCGGAAATGAGCTAAGGAAGGGGAGGGCAGTATTTTGACTCCACGATGGGGAACGCGTGTCAATCTAGAATACACACGGTTACTCACGATCAGCTATGTTGAATCGTACGTATCCTATTGTTAAACACATCCAAAGCTACGCGATCCCCACTACACGTTTCCATTCCCATTTCCCACCAATCCATTCTCATTATACTCATACTTCGCTTCCTGATCCTAAGTCACCGTTAGTAAACATCCTCAAAAGGAAGCTCACCACGAAACCCTAAGTGGACTTACCCAATACTTATTAAACCCGACCCCCTCACAAACTTCCGCATAGCCCAGAATCATTGGCGGTGCCCCAGTAGTCATACTCCTCTTCAACGCCTCCAGCGTCTCGCGAATACTTTTCAGCTTGGCCGCCACAAGGGTCCACGGATACGCGACAGCTGAAAACCCGAGCTCAGCCAGATCCTTGGCTGACAGGTTCTCCGTCAGCCCGCCCTCAATAATATTCGCAAAGACAGGCAATTGTAGCTCCTGGACACATTTCTGCATCGCCTCGCGATCGGGCAATGCCTCGACGAAGACGGCGTCTACTCCGATGCGCTTGAATTCCTTCGCCCGGGTCATGGCCTCCTCCCATCCGTGGATTAGAGAGTCAGTACGCGCCAGAACGAAGATATCTTGGCCGTTGTTACGGGCGTCAACGGCCGCTTGGATGCGGGCGTAGGCTTCGCCTCTGGAGACAACAGATTTGCCTTTGGTGTGACCGCAACCTAAGCATCTCGTTAGTCTCTGGATCTACGCTCACCCCTCCTCATCGACTACAGCAAACAGCAAGAAATGGGGAGACATACGTTTCGGCCACGTCTGATCTTCGATCATAACCCCAGCCGCACCAGCAGCCGCGAAGCTCTCTACCGTCCTCTTGACATTCATTGGACTTCCGTACCCGGTATCCCCATCTGCCATCACAGGAATATCCGTCGCGCGCACGGCCTCCTGGATCTTGTCACACATTTCCGCCATCGCAATGTACCCCGTGTCCGGGAGGCCATAGGAACTGGCTACGGCATAGCCGGCCAAGAAGACAATGGGGAAGCCGGCTTCCTGCACGAGGCGCGAGGAGAGGCCATCGTAGGAGCAGGCGTGGGCGATAATCTTCGTGGGGTCGGAGTGCGCCTCAAGCATCATGGTGCGGAGGGCGGAGGCTTGAATGGAGGGGATCTTGCCCCGGACATTCTTGAGGGTGAGAGTTTGGTCTCTGGCGGCATCTTTGCTTGATTGGTTTGTTGGGCTGGTGGTGAAGGTGAAGGGGTAGGGGGTTGTTTGGGTGAGAGTCATTTTGAACAAGTAGATGATGCGGAATTGGTCACTGTAATGCTATGTGCTTTGACTTCTGTGATGATGGATTGAGACGAAGGGTGGGCAATTGTGGTCCTTATATAGCGCTTTTTCTTTTGGATGGCGATGGTGTATAGTTTGGGCGGGTATTTTGACTGCGGATATTGCCAATTATCCGCGCTGGGGCGGGATACCCGGTTTAGGGGGATGCTCTAACCCTACCCCGTGGGGAAGAGAGGTCAATGCGGGGACACTCACCTGCAAAAGGTATAAATATGGTATACTTGTTGTGCTGGACATGGGGCTGTGGGGATTAACTGAGTCGTGGTATCGCTATTCCCATTTCGTGTCTACCTTCTCAGATTCGCATTGAGTGAGACCTAGTCACTCGAACTTGATCAACCATGAGTGAAAACGAAGTCAAGGACTCTGAGGCTATTCATCTGGAGCAAGCACAATTTCAAGATGCAAAAGATGTTCAGCACGTTCAGGTGCGGTCTGTTGACCAGGCATCCATTCGCCGAAAGGTATGTATTATCTTGAAGAAACGGGCTTAGTGCTGACTCGGACAAGTTTGATCGTCGCGTTTTACCAATAGTCTGCATACTGTACATATTGTCTTATCTCGACCGAGGTACAGTGTGCCCTTGCCTCACATCGCTAGTGTAACTTCCTAGACTAATGCACACAGGAAACATCGGAAACGCAAAGACAGCAGGTATAGACACGGCGCTTGGTCTCGACGACAAGCAATGGTCCTGGGTGCTGTACTCATTCTACATATGCTACATTCTATTTGAGTGGACTACGGTGTTGTGGAAGATTCTACCCGCTCATACTTATGTTGCTGTTCTTTGTATCTGGTAGGTTTTCCAGCCTGGAGACTAGTTGACTGATCAACGCTGAACCGACACAGTTGGGGAGCAGCCGCCATGTGCAGTGGTGCAGTGACCAATTTGGCTGAGCTGATCGTCTGCCGCTGTCTCTTGGGTATATTTGAGGCTGCATTTGGGGCAGGTGCACCCTACTTTCTATCGTTATTCTACCAGAGAGGGGAGCTTGGATTCCGGGTCTCCATGCTGCTGGGAATGTCACCTGTGGCAAATTGCTTCGCAAGTGCACTTGCCTTTGGCATTACTCATATCCATAATTCCATTGCGCCGTGGCGTCTTCTATTTATTATTGGTATGTCCCGTTAGATTCCAAACGACGAATACAAAGCTTCTGATCGACACGAGGCTGACACATTGTATAGAAGGAGCGCCCACAGTCCTCTTCTCCATCATTGTCTTCCTTTTCCTCCCTGACTCCCCAGGAACTGCCAAATGTCTGACCGAAACCGAACAAACCCAAGCTGTTGAACGCCTCCAAACCGTCGATCAGACTGCTAAAAACCGGATGGAATGGAAGCAAGTCCTCCAAGGACTAGCAGACTATAAGAACTATGTCCACATGACAATCCACTTCTGCTGCAACTACTCATTTGCCGGACTCTCCAACTTCCTCCCTACTATTATCGAAGAAATGGGCTACACCTCCGTCAACGCACAGGGACTCTCGGCGCCTCCATACTTCGCGTCATTCCTCCTCTGCATTGTAGCTGCCGTTATATCTGATCGATGGGGATATCGAGGATTGGTGATCACCGTGTCTGCGATAGTCGGAATGATAGGATACCTCATTCTCGCCGCGGTGGAGGATGAACATAAAACCGGGGTGAGATATTTCGGAGTGTGGCTGGCGACCTGCGGAGTATTTCCTGCGCTGTCAATTAATATTACTTGGCTGTTGAATAACCAGGGAGGAGACTCGAAGAAGGGGGCTGGAATGGCTATATTGGCGGTTTTCGGCCAGTGTTCGAGCTTTGTGAGCAGCTCGGCCTTTCCGGATTCTGAAGGGTAAGTTTTTCTCCGGTTTCTGAACCTTTCTCTTTTTTTCCTTTTCCTTTTTTCTATCGAGCATGATATCATTTGGGGCAATGGATAGATACTAATGAATAATCGCAGACCGTTCTATGTTAGAGGCTGCGCCATTGGGTGCGCATTGACTGGACTGATCGCCGTGCTGGCGTTAGGGCTATATCTGAAATTGAGCCATGAGAACCGGCGACGGGACCGAGTGTATGGGACGGTGGACGCGGATGTCCGGGTAGATGTTACGAGAGAGGGAGACAATCACCCACAGTTTCGGTACTTGACTTAAGGTACGGAGCAGTCTGACTGTTATATGCACGGATCGATGTGGATTTAGTAGCATGCAAGTAATGCATTTTAACTGCCGGGTCCCCACCCGTAACCGTAAGTAGTTAGTGACACTGCAGATGAATTAGGGTTGATTTAAAATAATCTGAAGGCTATTTAAAAGTCTCCGCAAGTACTTTTCCCCACATAAATTAACCTCTTCTTCCGACACAACGGCATGCATGCAGCCATGTACCGTCCGCCACGCAGTCGAGCTGTCACCGACTATACTTACCGCCGTACATATAAGGCGTGCATCCCTTGCCGAGAAAGGAAAGCGAAATGTGAGCTTGCGGAAGACGGCGTGCCACCATGTTCTCGGTGTAAGAAGATGAACCTGGACTGTCGGTATACAGAGAAAAGGCCGTGGGCGAGAGAGAACCTTGGTATGGTGCTCTTTCTTCGTCTTCCATCCGGGTTATGCACCAATTCTAAATTGCCAAGACTCCAATGTACCAAGAGCCACCCGTTCGAGGATTGCTCGCGATGGTACGCAAGAAGTTGAGCGAAACTCATCGCAAGAAGGTGAGTCTCTGCTACCCACTATCATACATAGCCGGCCTGATTGTTGCATTATAGGAGATGGAGCTACGTGGTCAGATAGCAATAGGAACGCTGTAAAGGCTTTAGAGCACCTGCTTCCCTCTGGAAATGACCCATTCGATCTCTTTTTACAGGGGGATATACCAAACCCTTTTCCATTTACATCGCTAACCCCCACGGAAAACAGTACGAATAGCGAAGGGCGAAGCCCCATTCATGCAGATGTACTTAGAATATGGAACGCTTGTCGGTTCGTTAGGATGGGATGGATCAAGGCCCGTGAAGCAGTCATTCTCGTCGAGTTGTAGGTTTACCATATCTCTAGGGATCCATACAGTCAATTATACAGGCCAGTCTTTAACAGATACAGGTTCTTCCAGAATATGTTCCCCTTCTCGCCCATTCTAACCGACTTCTACAATACACCCGAAAACAGCTACTGGCTCGTGACTCAGGAACCCATGCTTTGCTGCACCATCTTAATGATCTCGTCAAAATACCATGTTCTCCCTGGATTCGGTGGTACCTCCCGAGCATATTCCATTCATAATCGACTATGGCAGCACTACCAGCATCTCCTCCTCCGCATCATGCTAGGCCAGGAAAAGCTCTCAAAGGCAAAGACAAGACATGTTGGTTCGATCGAAGCACTTCTCCTCATGTGTGAATGGTATCCACGGGCACTTAACTTTCCCTTGGAGAACGATGGATGGGACTCAGATCTGATTCTTACAGAGCCCGACCTCAGAGATCCTCCAGCATCAGGAGACGAAATACCCATGTCCGATCGCTGGAAGGAAGATGTCGTTGAGCCTACTAGACGGTCTGATCGGATGTCGTGGATGCTCGTGAGCACCGCACTGGCATTGGCTCATGAGCTAGGTATTTTTAGGAGTGACAGCGGGAAGAGGAAGTGTGAGTATGATGTGACTAGTATGCGGTCGGACGCAGGCGCCTATCTGCAACAATTAGAGTGGAGACGTCGCCGTCTGCCTTCTTTGCTGTACGTGTTTGCGAGCATGCTTGCCTCGCGGTTGGGGTGCACGTCTCTTGTCCCGGAGATGCCAGTAGTCAACGTGTCTGAGGGTATCACGGATTGTCCTTATGTGGAAAATGAATGGATGCATTTCATGGCATCATGGGTTGACTTAACCCGGTTGGCTAAAGATATAACAGACACACATTTCCCATCAATACCCAGGACTGGTGATCCGATGAGGGACTGCAGGTCGTCACAAGATTGGGAAAGCATGCTTTACCGCTGGCAGGCCAGTCGGCCAACATTAAGTAGATCGCCATAGCCTCCGTTCGGTTGTTTCTCCTGCTAATGCGGCACGCAGACTCCCATCTGGAATCCATCCTGCACGTCGAATACCAATATCTGCAAGTGTTCACCAACTCCATCAAAGTCCAATCGCTGGTCGAAAACATCCTCCATTCACCTACCCAATCTGCCACCACTGACCGCACCTGCATCGACGAGGTAATCAATCGGTCGACTGAGATCCTGCAATGGTTACTCATCCAACCCAGCATTCAATACCTCCCAATTCGCGTCTTCCTACGAGTAATCAGTTCGTCTATTTTCCTAATGAAAGCCTTGGCCCTAGGCGTCCGAACCACACAGCTCCACGCCTCATTACATCTCCTCGAGCAGACGATCACTACCCTGCAATCGAGCCCATTAGACGACATGCAACTCATCTCGCGATACGCATCCCTATTGCAGATCCATGTTTCTCGTCTGCGACAGACTTTCATGACCTCAGCGCAGGAGAGGGAGAAGGATGTTCAATCAGAACGCCAAGAGCATAGCAACACTCTGTCATCACCGGGGCAGACGGAGTTAGTGCAAGGGTCGCATGACCCTATGCTAGGGCAGCTAGATGAGAGTGGGGATGATTGGCTTTGGTTGCCGATTGATCCCCTGATGGCGCCGTTTGGCACCTGGGATGATACTGGTCAGTTGGATTACGGATTGGACTCGGCGCATTTGGACTTGGACTTTATTTGGAACTTGCCGCCGTGAAGTGAGGTTTGGGGTATGGGGCTGGGAGGATGTGAGATGGCTATTATATTAACGAAGTACCCTTACATTCGGCCGGACAATTGATGACAGGGCATACCATCAGCAACGAAGTATACCCTACGCTGTATAATTGTGTAAACTCAACCTTTATTATACAGTTTGATACGTTCTAAACACAACATTAATATGTGTCCCATTATATTGTGGGGGCGGCTGGCGGGCGTGGCAAAGCAGGGCTTGATATGGGCTGCCGCGGGAGGGGCTGCTTGGTGGTATTTTAGATAACATGTTCCCGTTGGGGATCTGGTTTCTGGGATTTTCACATCGCGCTTTGGATTGTAGAGGTTTGGTACGGCGTGCATGGTGAGATTTTGGTTCTATCCATATGGGGTGCGGTTGGTGGTAGGGCTTGCTGGGTTTAAGTCGTAAAAACTTGCTCAAGGGCGATGCGTCAAGTTGGGAGGTACTTATCAAAGCTTGGTCGGATAAGTGAGAATGGGTCAGGTATTTATACAGCGCTTTCTGTGCAAGAATAAAAAGACAGTGATATAAACTGCTATTAGAATGGCACCTCTCATCTCAGTTCGCATCGGAAAAGCCGATGGTATCGGCAACTTGCCGAGCCCTAACCCGCTTCGACACATACCATTAAACGAGCCATTCGTAGGAACCCATAACCAAGGTTGAAGCGGATAAAAAGTTCAAAATAAAGTTGGATGAATAAATGAATACGAAGAGGCAACGTCAACCTCGTGGGATGATCGAAGTCAATTGACTTTTTCCACTGCGGTTGTCGACTTTCCTAATTAGGATAATGAGTAGATTCACAACATCGCCTATTAACGCCGGGGCCAAAGCTAAAAGTATTCATATACTTGGCAACAGTCTAACCCCATATCACCGGAATTTAATCCCCTCCGCTAAGCTGGGGTAAGCCAGATCATGACCGGCCCGGTGGACCTCATCCTTGCCCCTTCAGGAAGCCAGAGCCGTAGATTCGGTATCGCCCTCCACAAAGCCTCCACCGGATGTAACCCTACAAAGCTTGATAGATTGCAGGATGGATATAGCCATAGGTATACTTCACAGGAGGGAGAACAGAGCAACGGAAGCGACGTGGGAATACTATTTAACCGAAGCCTTCTCTGCACAAAAAGTAGAGAAGCAAGTCTCCATTCCATCTTCTATAACACACCACTGCTCCAATTCCAAGACCGTCCCAAGCCTACCATGATGCTTCCGAAATCCCTCCTCCCGCTCTCCATCATCTTCCTCCCATGCGCTCAAGCATGCCTCGAAGTTGTCGGCACTCTTTTCGTCTCCCATTCTACCTCCTGGAACGTGCAGTTGAAGGACGACGGGACCCAAACCTGCAGCTTTAACTGCAATGCCTGGACAACTACCTGCGATGCAACCTGCAATGATGGCTACAAGGCCAAATGGACCACGACTACGGATTGGAGACATCAGCCGGGAAAGCTGCATTACGACACCCCTCATGGGTCGTATGACCTGGACGTCCCAGTTGAGCCCGGTTCAGAAGTGACGTATAATTGCTGCGGTGGCAATGTCCCGTGTCAATGCACTCAGATTACTTACCGAGGAAGCTTCTGGTGTTGAGTCCAAATGGTTTGATTGGTTCGTGGTGGACTGCGCATGGTTAGCGAGGACTTGCGAGGTGGGCTAATATGAGAAGCCTAGTGGGGGGGGTGTTGAGGATGGAGATATGGTTCGTTGGGTATTGGTGTATGGTGTGGGCTGGGAATATAGGCCTGAGCACATGTTTTGTACTGATGTTTCAGCTTCTATTGCTTGGGGAAATATATAGCGAGTTAATGAAGGGTTACTGTGTCCAAACGTACATACGTAGTACGGCGTGCTCCTAGCAAATACCCTTTTATATATCTCTTGTTCTAGAGCACATCGCTGTATCAAAAACGCGAGGATCGATATAGATTGATAGGGCGTAATTACCAAAACAGAGAGACCTATACTGATGTATCAATACGCACCCGTGGAGTAAGGAAGGCATCCGTCAATAGATAGACAAGTTAAAATGAGTGGCTCCAATAGCTTCTAGAAGGACGCATGAATCCGAGATATCAAAGCGGGGTAGCGATTTATCTTCAGATAAGGAACGGAACTCACATACCTAAACCACAGAACGACACCACCAACGTCTCACTACCCATCATGGAGCAGCTTCCCGATCAGAAAAAGTGCCAGTGGCCGACTTCGAGAATATTCCCATTATCGACGTCGCACCGTTAAGCAGTCCAGATCGTAGTGATCGCCAGAGGCTAGCAGCAGAGATCTACGGTGCCTGCACACAAGTCGGGTTCTTCTACATCAAGGTGACTTGACTTTGTAGCCCTAAATTATATTGCTTGCTCGTTAATAAAGATCCTGCAGAATCACGGGATATCCGATGAGTTGATCAGTGCACTTCACGATGCAGCGCATCGATTCTTCGCCCTACCAGAGGAGCAGAAAATGGAATATTCTGTGGCGAAATCGAAGGTATGTGTATCACCCCAAAGCATCCAAATACCAAGGCACAAAGCGTTGAACAAGCGATAGAAATACCGTGGGTACATGCCCGTGTATGCAGAGGAAATACCGACCGACGATGATGCGAATGACCAGATCGAGAAAAATGCAACGGGCGCTCTTTTGGAATCATTCGACATTGGTTATGAGATTCTCGCTGATTCGCAACGAGCCGCGGATGATGTGCTGCCCCCCGACACCTATGACCTGTACGGAGACAACCAGTGGCCAAGCGATGAGGTGCTTCCAAACTTCCGAGACACGTATTTGCTTTACTGTACCGAGGCACTCACGCTCTGTCGAAGACTAATGAGAAGCTTTGCGCTTGCCCTTGGCCTGGACGAGGGTTTTTTCGATACCATGATGGACTTTCCGGGGGTGACGTCCCGCATCTTGCATTATCCCACTCAGCCCGTGGAGGGAGAGGTTAGAGATGGGCTTGGGGCTCATACGGTAGGTAACCAATCCTATTGTCATTCTTGGTTCCAGTCCAGCTTATTATTGTTGCCCTCCTAGGACTACGAATGCTTTACTATTTTGTCCCAGGATGACGTACCCGCTTTGCAAGTCCGCAATGCTCGGGGCGAATGGGTGGTGGCGCCTCCTATCCCAGGGACACTGGTTGTGAACATCGCTGATTGCTTGTCCATGTGGTAGGCTTCTGTTTAAGGGAATCTTGAGCGCTATATGGATGCTGACCTCCCAGGACAAACCAAACGTTCAAGTCAACGGTTCACCGAGTGATCAATTTGACTGGCCAAGAACGATACTCTATCCCGTTTTTCTTCGGAGTCAACTATGATACCACAGTGTCAGTTCTGCCAAATTGTGTCTCTGATGACAGGCCGGCGTGTGTAAAGCCGTTCAAGGCTGGTGAAGTGAGTCCAATACAGAATGGATTCCTAGGTGGGTTGTTAGCAGCTGACAGTCCATGATTACAGTTCGTGCGTGCGCAACTAGCGAAGACTTACGTCGCTTATGGAGAGGAGCCTTCTACAGGGACAGAGGATGTACTTCTATGAAAGGTAACATACCTAGATATCTCTAGGAGCCGCCAGGCTATCAATGAATACCACGGTATCATTGTCAATGGAAAGATTGTTCGTTGTACGAGGGCGATATGGCCGTCACTTGCATGTCGCGGGCCGATCAACGTGCAATTACTTTGCCGGGAACACTAGCATATACTCCGAGTGGGATATGAAGTATGATTATCACATAGCTACGATGTTACCTCATGCCCCTGGACGATCTCTGGCAACGATGTATGCTAGCGCTGCCCATGGGTCCTGTAGTATTCTATAAAAAGTACAAACCTTTCTTAGTATATCAACACCCTTGTAACTACCAAGGAAAATTTATATACGTAGCGAATTGGGGAACGCCAAGAATTTAGTAAGAGGGTCCTGCTGCCCGGGACGTTGTTATACCGTGTCTGACCACCTGAAACGATGTAACTGATTTATGCATCCTTTTACTAGTGGTCTTGGCTTGACATGGAGACTAGGGCTTACATCCATGTTTCATCCCTCAAGCTAGTATATAAATTTCCCCCGCAGTCTCCTCTGGCAAAATAAACAACTGACTTCAATTTGATTTGAATCCCAAGTTTTGCCAGACGTTTAGTAAGGATGTCCGCAACAAAGGAACAGCCATTGCGATACACGCATTATTCTATCCCCGACCCCGACTTCGACAAATATAGGGATATTCCCAGTCCGTTTGCCGAGATGAATACACTATCAGCCGTTGAGATGCGTGCAATCATGTCTCAGCTTCCAGTGACGTTCCCGTATGACGAGGCAATCACTGACAGCGTCGAGATTCGTGATCGAAATATCACGGCTCGGGATGGCGCTGAGCTGGAACTTAGGATTTACAAGGATAAGGCCGTTGGCCAGAACTCAACGTTATTCTTCGTCGCGCACGGAGGAGGTATGAATGGGATCCATTGTTGTATATGATCATTTGGATTGTTAACTGGTTAACCGTGAAGGCTGGGTTCTTGGAGACCACACGGCTGAGGAGGCCATGAACCGTTTGGTTGCCAAGAGGACTGACTCGGTTGTTGTTAGTGTCAATTATCGTCTGTGAGTTGCTGCATTCCTTCCTATAAACGAGATTCAAAGTACTCTTTCCGTGTGGAGATGTTCTGATGGGTAGAAATAGGGCCCCGGAATACCAATTTCCCTATGCCGTCAATGACTGCTGGGATGCGATGCAATGGGTGAGCTATCGACATCGCATTTCAGGTGTACCGTTCTGACGATTGTGTTGTTAAATGGCGCACAGTGCAGAGAGAATCCAGCTATCTTAGGGGTCAATCCAGAGAAGATCGTTGTCGGTGGAAGCAGTTCTGGGGGAAATATTGTGTGTATAATCGCGGCCAAACACCATCTCACTTCAGTTGCTGATCGCGTTAGGCTGCCGTCTTAGCGATGAAGGACAGAGACGAAGCTATTGGGGCTGTCATTGGCCAGGTCTTGAATGTACCTGACATATGCCACCCAGCGCACTTCCCCAGGGATAAATATGAATATAGCAGTCCCGAGCAAAATAAGGACGCGCCAATTATGCCAACTCATGCTGCTCACTGGTTTTGGGGTATAGTGCCTTTGTCATATTCGCCAGTGATTGTATACAAGCATGGAATGCTAACCCATCTGAAACCCAGAGCAATATTGCCCCACGGCCGGCGCGGATCCCTATGCCAGTCCTTTGTTGGCGCACTCTTTCACGGGGCTGGCACCTGCATGTATGTATTTCTCCAAATATCTCCACACGTCCCCTATGTAGGGCGCAGCTGCTTATGTTCAAAAGTGATCCAGGTAGCTGGACAGGACCCTATTCGTGATGAGGGTCTGGCTTATGGAGAAGCTTTGGAACAAGCAGGGTGAGTACTTATTGTTCTTTAATATAGCGCATTGTTCTGTCAGGATGCGCAGGCTCTTTCAAGCATAGGCTAATGGCACTCATCACTCCAGTGTCCCTGTACAAACAAAGGTCTATGCCGGCCTGCCCCATGCTTTCCACCTTTTTGCAGACTTGAAAGCCACCACAGTATTCTATGATACAATTATAGAATGGATTACGACACTGCAGAAAGATAGTTGAGATAAGCAACGTAAAGAGATATATAAGTGAAGGATAGTATGTCTCAAGCACCACTTCCTACAGTGCAGTCGAGATGCGGCTCGTACCAATTAGCTTTTATGAAATACTTAGATTCACTCTTGACCGTTGGCCATTTAATTAGTAGATATTATTAGAGTAGACAGTATTCGAAGCAGGTATAGGCGTCTGTCAATGAGATATTCTGCAACAACACCCTCCGGTGTTTCTAACCTTGTTGGCACCAACCTCGTCCTGTGGCTACTATTTCCATCTAATAATGCATGTATTCCTTGGACTTCGGTGCATCGGCAATGACGGATTCAGCGATCTTCACAGCCATTGCATAAAACACGGTCATAACATGCGAAGAGACCTGTGTCGGCGGTATCGAGCCGTCCACTACTCTAAGGCCATGCACGCCATACACCTTGGCCTCAGGGTTGACAACGCCACCATACTCCTCCTTCATCATAGAGCATGTACCCACTCCGTGATAGTTCGCACGGTAGTTCTGTTTCACATAATAGGCCCATTCTTCCAGGCTTGCATCCTGTGGCACGTATCTCCCGGGAACGAGCTCTTTCTCAGCCAACGGCTTCATGTCGAAGGTGTTGGTCAATTGTCGTGCTAGTCGCGTAGCAGCTGCCTGGCCGTACAAGTCTACCTTATTCTCAAAGTATCGTGGGTTGTATTCAAAGCTCCGCAGATAGGGGTCTGAGTCCAATGCTTTCACATATCCTCGAGTAAATGGAATCAGGTTCCAGAGGTCAAAGTGGGTAGAATTGTCCGTATCGAGGAAAAGTTCGGCGTATGACACTTTGTCTTTTAGAAGCCAGTCTTGGTAGTTTTTATATTGTCTTAGGAGATTGGTCTTATTAGGAAAGCCGCCACCTTTGACCGTCTGCTCTGCCATTAGCTCCAACTGTTTATCGTCTTTTAGGATAGATTCAAAAAAGGTGGCATCCTCGCCGAAGACCTCTGCGAGGGTTGCAAAATACGCGGCCTGGCCTTGGCCCTTTCCTGCATCCTTCGGCTTCGTGACGACGGACGTTGTTGTTTGATCCTGCAGGTTATAACCCACCGGAAGTTCGAGCTTGTGTGATATACCCGCATCATTGAGCCAAGCTTTCGGGCCGATGCCTGACCACTGGAGGATGAGGGGAGAGATCGTGGAGCCCGCAGCCAAAAGGACCTCTTTCTTGGCCCAAGCATCCCATTTCCACTCCGTCTTGTTGTGGATCCCAAACTCGACCCCCTTCGCTTGCCATTTGGCATTTCCCGTCGAGGGCTTGATCTTGTCCAGATGAACTTTGCCAACGAGCTGGCCAGTCAGGACTGTGATGTATTGCTTCAGGTTCGGGTCATCCATGATTGGCTTTAGCCATGACCGTGCAGCATCTGTTCGGACTTGCTCGTTGGTAAGCGTATTCAGGAACATCGAGACCCCAGTTGGGTCACCACAACATAAGTCCTTTTGGTTCGTGACGGTGCTATATGTCTTCTTGACTGTATTCATCAACGCCCCAATCAGAGGGGACCAGCCGTACTTCCGATCGCGAGCGCCGACTTTCACTTTACCCTTCGCCGCATCCCTGTTATGGCACTCGCGATCGAAATGATGGAGTGAGCCAGGAGTAATCTTGTCTGTGGCCGGATCGCGCGGGATTTCAATCTCGTCCATCTTAGGCTTTAGCGCTGCCCAAGTCCAACCAGTATTCCCAAAAACATTGCTCCAGGAATCGATTTGCGATTTGTGAGGCCGTGTCCATGTTCCGCCATTGATAAGTGTCGAACCCCCGAGCCCGTTCCCGGACCGGATGATCTTGATGTCTTTGTCTAGTCCAACATCGCCGTCGTTGCCCACCAGCTGGGGCTTGGTCTCGTAGGCATGGTCGACGCTGCTACCAAACACCTGGCCGTAGGTGTTGAGATCATCGATCTTCGGGCCATACTCCCAGGCGTAGAAGCCGCTTTCAATCACCAGCACTGTAAAGTGTTTCTCCACGAGTTTCGCGGCCAGCGTGAGGCCGGTCAGCCCGCCTCCAGCGATCACATAGTCGTACGTCTTGTTATGCACTTTACGGGGATCATCGGTGACACCGCGATGTATGTCGTTGCTTCCGGACGGGTCATCACATCCAGTAAAAGAGTCGGCGGGTGAGCATGTTTTGACACTGTAAGAAGGTGCTATGATGTCTTCCTGCAAGGGGGCCTGGAAGGGCTCTGCGAGCACCCCGGACAGAAGAAGAGCCAAGTCCAGCAAGGAGTGTCTCATCGTGGTTATGTAGCACGACGCAAGAATTTGACCCTAAATTATGCTGGCCATTGCAATCGTCCGTTGCCCTGGTGAAGTAATGATAGGCACATTATATATGCTACTATTTAGTCGCCCTTGGTACTATCTCGAGGCTAGAGAGTTGCAATGACCCAACGACTCGTCCATAACGCTGGGTTGCGGCAATGACATGTCTGAAAACGGACAATACAGAGTCTGGTGGGAGATGACATGCTGGTGTCGTCAATGGTAGAGTACCCCTTGGTCGGTTGCTTGCTCCGATAAACTTAATTCGATTATTTCGTAGAGGTTCCTTGTTAAAATGACACTTCATTGACATCAGAGGGCTGTTGTGGCTTTGACAGTGGGTGCCATGTGGGGACAGGGCATGAGGTGGTTCCATGAGGAAATGGCGCATGCGTGTAGAAAGAAAGGCTACATGAATAGCTGGGATCCTCTTTTCCGACTCATCCGAGATCCAAGCTTTCGGCTTCCGCTGTCAGTGCAAACCTTGAGAATTATATTACATCCCAATCTTAGTCGCCAAGAGTCGTCCGGCTGCCCCGAAGCAGAGTGTCGACTTTTACCCAGTGAACGGTGGGCGGGCCATAGAGTTAGTACAACCCCATCTGTTCCCATATTCGAGAAGCCGTCTTCTCCTGCATCAATAACGGGGTACTGGGTACTGGGTACCATAATACCGTGCGTATGTTTGGATCCACCTTGCGAGTGGCATGTAGCACAAGGGCGAGTTGTGCATTCCCGCACTGAAATAGGAGGAGAGTCACCCTTGCATCCATACATGCCAACGAACAGAGAGATCAGCTCCACAATCAACCTGCTGTCACCTCGGGGAAGCTGGTTCCGCATCGCCGGTGGGGGGATGTGACCCCAGGTGACAAATCAAAGGGCAACCACGAACGCTTGGAGTGGACCCTGTCGTGCCCCAGCAAGTGCAAGCCATGTTATCGAGTGTGCACCCTTCACTGGGGTTCTTTGGCAATATATGAGGTGATCGACCTTTGGGAGAGGTGTGGGTCTGACCTAATGACATCGACCTACCACTCTACTGTTCGCTCCTTTGATATTCGGGAGGAACACAATGTTCTCGTAGAGCTAGCTCAGTATGCGTGCGGACTGTCGAAGGCAATGCAGTGTGAATTACCGTAATGACGAAAGTATGCATCCTGGTCAGTTGGCCAGTGCCATCATGCGCGGACTCCAGCATGTCACCAGAGGTCAAGGTATGCTGTTGGCAGACGTACTTCTTTAGCCAATCGTATTAAAGTACAAGTCCTTAGGTCATCATCCAATACGTCCGGACATAGTCTTCCCGACAGGACATTACGACGTGAAAGGCGCAATGATGATTTGCACCTTGCATCCAACCTAGGAACTGCCTGTTTAAGGGTGATTCTATGCTTCCCCGGCGGACGAGACAACAGACAGTAAATCCACGTCATGGATCATTTTTTCCAGCTAGCTATGTGAAACGGTGGATTATTAAGCCTTACAGCATAGGTAGTTAGAGAATTGGTCTTTCAACTCTCGCTCCGGCGCTTACAATGTTGCGTCGAGCTCCCGAGTAGCAATGAGTTCGTATATACCCGTGGAACCCAACCCAGATTTAGAGAGATTACGGACGGCTAGACAACCCGAAAACAGAAGTAAAATTGGATTTGAAAGCCAATAGAAAGCAAGCCTGGGCAAAGGGTAGTATCGATGATAATGCTGTGTCCATTCTAGGAGTGACATCACGACAGCCAGGCACACGGAACTGGCTCACCGGTGCGACCCAATGAACGCATTCGAGGAAGAAGTGGAAAGGTAAATCAATGGGACAGCTAGTCAACAATGTTCATGGAGCTCTTCCATTGATGGGGCCAGAAATAAGATACATCAAACAAGCAAATCAATTGTTAATCTGTGGAATCTAAAGGTGCGTTAGGAGATACGTCTGGACAATCTGCATATCAATCTTCGTTCAAATTCCTCTCCTTTGGAGCCATCATTCCAAGCTCAATGTTAGCGGCAAGAATATCGTCCTCAATTTTCTGACAGAGGACTACGCGAAGCGCAACGAGCCCCATTTCGGAGAGACAATTGGCCGTGTGGCTAACAGGCTGAAGAATGCCACTGTGTGTCTTAACGGGCGTGACTATATGCTTGACAAGAATGACCCAGCTAACTGCATTCATGGTGGGTTCAAGGGTTGGGAACAACAGTATTTTTATCCAGCACAACAAAAGACACACGGAAGGGATGCATGGAGGTTTAGCTATACAAACAAAGATAGCGATGGGAAGTTCCCAGAAACAGTCGAAGTGACTGTCTGGTATACAGAGTATTACAAACAGGATACAAGACGCAAGGCCATGCTCGAGATTGAATATGAGGAGTCAGCCCGTAACATGGAGTGCGAGGAGACAGCGGTAAATGTCACAAATCACAGATATGTCATATCGATATCAATCGCAATGCCTGATAGCCTTAGAAACATGCTGATAATATCTATATTTCCAGCTACTTCACTCTAACAGGAAACAAAACCATTGCTGGGAGTAAAGCACAACTATACGTACGCAGATACTTGCCCATCGACCAGACAGGTATCCCAAACGGTACTATCAAGGAATTCCCCGACGATATTACGAAGCAATTCGAACTAGAAGAAACTGCCCCTCAGATTAACAATTGTTTCGTCCTGAAAACCACAACTGATCCAAAGTGCCTCTGGATACGCGCCAGCTGGATCTTCAATTACTTGGCTCTTTCCATCGCCCAGATTCAGACATGCATTTGGAGGTTCTCAGTACGGAGCCAGCCTTTCAATTCTACACTGGTGACCATATCAATGTGACAGGGGAGCTTAGCTACAGTGCTCGGGCCGGCCTCTGTGTTGAGCCTGGCCGGTTCATAAATGGAATTTGTCAGCCAGAATGGCGGTTTATGAGCCTTCTTAAAAAGGGGCAGGTCTACGGGAGTAAAATCGTGTACGAGTCCTGGAAAGAATGAAACTCATCAATGAATGTACTTGCTGTTCAGAAGGGCAACGCATCGAGTACTGCAATATATGTCATTTCTTGCAGCATAGTCTCAACATGGAAATCCTGAGCAGCAGCATTGGGAACCGCAGGGGGATAGTAAGTGGCCTATAAGCATCTAATCCGGGATGACGAGAATCACTCATAAACAGTCATTTTTAAAGGTTCAACATCTCTGGGAAACAGCAAACCTACAGTGATCGGGCTACCATGGTCGTAGTTTATGTGACACATGATATGTAGATTCAGAACCAATACCCCCACTACTCGTCAACATTGGTTTCTGGGATGTGGAGCAATGCTCGATAATTGGTGTCTGCACCCTCCTTCCCTGCCTGGCACAGATACATCAAAGCAATGCCAGTGTTGCTTTGCAAAAAGTAGGCGACAAGCCAGTAGTATCCGCATACAAACGTAAACGTCATGACAAGGAGTCACAACTATGATGTCAAACTCGGCGCCCATTAGCCACGTGTATATATAGCTTACGTCCCCACGGTATCTTGATACTTGTCGTGCCTCACCACAAAACTAGCTTGCTCGTCTTTGTCTGTCCGAGCTTCCTGCAAAGCAATAATATCACAGAACATGTGTGCACTATCGATCCTCCCACTTCTCCTCGTTGCGGTCTCGGCATTTGAACCCTGTAAGAGAACTGCGTACCGATGTGAAGATCTGGCTCGTCCTACGACACGAACGACCTTTTGACCGAGGCCATCTGCCTAACAACAACCAATGCAACATTGTGTACATGCAACAACAACAACAACAACAACATTCGATACTGTCATTACAAAGGGACCGACGACTCCAGCTTCCAAGAAAAGTGTCAATCTTACAATTTAAAACCACCGAGTATCATCGATCACGGCATAGCCCTGTGAAATCAACTTCAGTCATCCTTCTCAAGGCAGGGAGCGATGGAATAAAAGGCTACCCGACTGGGAAGCGATATCAAGCAGACCATAGACGGTTGATCTTGTTTGCTAAGAAGGTTTAGGATCGACATTTCATACTGAGCGCGGGTATGTGTTTCTCTCATAGTGCTGTACTTAAGTTTGAGCTATCGCGGTTGTTGTAATCCAGAACCATGAGCACTTGACCTCAATTGGTTAACTTTCCCAGTTTTCTGCAAGTTTGTGGTTGTAAAATCTGTAAATTAAAGCTGTACGGTCTGTGTCGTAGATCTGTAGTAGCCAAAACAGCCAGGTTGCTATAGAAGCAATGTTGTATAATGTTAAGCATGCTCAAGGTGATGATTTAAGAATCTGTTATATGAGTACTAAGATGGAAGTGGTGCAGGTGAAATGCATATGTATATCTCCACTCAGTTACGAGTTACCATACATTTAAAGCATTATAGAACAATATCTGAGTTCTATCCGATTGTTAATCTTGGGATTATGGATATACTATAATTATACATAGGTATTTCTCATTATACACTTGAAACATGTAAACACATGTAGAGCTTAACCTCGCTAACGATGTGTGTTGGGACAAACCCGAACCGTGGAAGGTTCGGATCCGAGAGGCCGGATCCGAATCAGTCTTATTTATACGCACTTATGAGGATACACGTGACTCAAAGCCCTAAGCAAGGGTTCCTCGCAACACCGTCGTTTACGTGTTCACTAATGGTTCGCTCAAGTTGCTTGTATGAATTGTGATCACGGTGAAAGAGTATGCGAAAGGCCTATCGCAATATAGTCCAAAATACACACGTATAGTATACGGTAGTTTGACGAACTGGATTTGAAAACTAGGGTGTATATACAAAGCCATGCACGAAATGATTGACAGCATGGTAAATATCCAAAAGACAATATTTGAAGTAGAATGTGAAGTAGAATGCGAACGGACACTGGCCACCGTCCATCCGGAACCGACAAGTAAAACAAGAAGAAAAGCCGATGAGGATGAAGAATGAATGGGCGACAAGGGTTTTGTGTTGAAAGCATGTTACGCTTCAAGCTCGGCCGGAGGCCCTCGCCGTACCTCCTTTACTTTGGCCCATGGCCTAAAGCTCTTGGAGGAACCCGGTCTGTGAGGGGTGGCTGGTGGGGCCGGCTTGCCCTGGCGGCGCTTTCGTCGACGGAATAGGCGCGAAGCAATAGCTATCACAAACACGGCCAATCCAAGCGCAGCAGCGCCGATGCCAATTCCAGCTTTGGCGCTTGAGGACAACGCAGTGGTTTCGTGGGCATCAGGCTCCGTTGAGCGTGTTGGATTAGTTGGTTCTGTCGGTCCTGCCGATATCATTGGAGTCGTATGTGTACAGTGGGTAGTTGCTGCTGTGGGAGGTGGGTTTGGTGCCAAGACTGTGGGTTTTGCTGGGTCGTCATAATACATTAATGCTGGCTGTGTGGCGGACACTACAGGCGTGGAGGTAGCGATTGAAGAAGTAGAACCATCCCCATATAAGCTTAAATCTGTTGATTGAAGCATCACTGTGAGGGGCTGAGCCCACATTGTCAAAGGTCCGCTGACAAGGGTTTCTTTCTCATTGCCTGGAATAGCAATAGGTACTCTGGTAGTTATTGCTGACCGCATACTGCTCAGACATCCTGCCAGCAGTGGTGGTGGGAAGGTGTCAGTGATACTGGTCCTGTAATAGTTGTGATTCCTGCCTTCAACTCAGCCATCGTTCAAGCAAATACCGTGAGGTACTTCGTAGGACAACATACGAGGGACAGCAGATTGCAGTCGTAGTCGGCCCGTTGATGGTGACGTCTGCAGAGGTGTATCCTATGGGGCAATATCCTGGACTAAAAACGTGTGTTGCCATAGCTCTCCCCGTATTGCTGAAGCCCGAGGGATAACATGAGCTCACAACGCTTAATGCATTTTGTAACAGGATGCCATTCATCACGCTGTCTGAAGTTGTGGGTGCGAAGGTCCAACTGGTTGGGCAATCAGGAGGAGGGGTAAAAATAGTTGTCAATGGAACAATCGTTATGGTGATGGTCGCACTACCGGTGATTGTCGTGATCTGCATCATGCAATAGCTTTGTCGGTTGAAGGGATCGGATACAATTCAACAATTTGAGTAGTAGTTATAGATTCAATAGAACGATGTGTGGAGTGGCAGGTAAGCAGCGTCAATGCTGATTCATTATTGGGCATGTGCAAGATATATGCTGATCAAGGATAGCTAGAAAACGCTGTTAGGCTAGGAAAACAAGTTCTCTACAACAAAGGATGACATCCTTGCTAGGTATATAATAGTGAGGTTGCATCAACAATCCAGAGCTTGGGGAATGGTGGTTGCTGCGTTAATTGAACCCTTCACCTTCGATCCCACCACATCAACGAAGGGCATCAGTGACGCGTGCTTTGTCCTCTCTAGGAGTTCCCACGGCCCCTCACGTCCTTTCAGTCCATTATTCTTGACTGTCCATAAGGAAGTAGCCCTTAACTCGAAACTTATTTTTGCGAGGGGCACTCTCCTCTGTATGACCATTTACCTAGCTTGCGAGAACACTCCAACCCCTGGTATTTGTCACCGAGGAGTCTAAATCACTCAAGTCTGGTAATATTGACCCTAGTGAGTAGCGATAGCTTTAACAGTTTGGCATAGATTATATTAAACTATAGCAGTTGGGAAATGAGGATGTAACAATATCTACTCGGGGAGTGGTGAGTAGTTCTTGATATATATCTAGTATTTGAACCCATAGACGAGGTATAATTGCTGTGGAACTACCTGTCCCCACCCGGAAAGGTCCGGAAGGGACCAGTCAACTTAGTGTTAACATGGTATCTTTGCTGCTTTGACCTCCTGCATTAGTGTTTCAATAGTTATTTTTGATCCTTGTCGTAGGTAGTACGAGCCCTTGCCCCTGGGTGCGTCCCCGCAGGATAGAAACACGGGGTTACCGGTATCCCACACTTGTTTCTATATTTGAAAGTCAGTCCATTAAAGAATAAAAAGAAGTTCGGAGTTTTCTTTGAGTAGATTATAAATTACGCTAAAGGGATCTTCGCTTCCTACCCAGACTTCATCCTGCTATACAGTCACCGTTGTTCATATGGAGGGACCAAGTCTACCCCAAGCTTGAACAAAGAATACCAGGAAACAGAGCAAGTATTAGATCGTAATCTAAACGACGCTAACGATGGTCAAGTCTTATCGTTTTGTTAAGTATGCCGTTACAGTTCCTAGCTTCTTCCATGCAGCGATCCGGTAACTCGGGATCGGAATTGCGTGTGATACCCCTGGACCTTTGCATGAAGCGTACAGCTTCCGTCCATGTGATTGAAAGCGGGCCGAAGTGGGAGTACTAGTGATGATTTATGCTCTCAAGAATATTACATGGCAGGAGGCTAACACTTAGTGTTGACATAACGCTCTGTATGTCTGTTGAATAGAGGCTTGTGTTTTATAAATCTTTGAAATACCTCTACCGTGACTCTGTCGGAGCCAACTGAATAGTGCACATATCCGACCGAGTCTCGTCAACGCCTCTGGTGGATGATATGGCACATTTAGGGTATTCTGTGCACGTGCCGATAACGCATAAGCTGAGTCGGCCTTCGTCTTCTTTTCATGTCGCAAGCGCGGCAGTCAACGTGTCACAGTTAAAATTAGGTATACTGTAGCCGTGAAACACCATATTGCATCCCCTGCACATCCCTGTGTGATTATGGCCGCGTCGCGGCAGTGAGTAATCAGGAGGGGCCATGTCCTTCCGCACGCTAGACAGCTTCATTGGTCTGTTCAGGCTAATAGGATGAACCGTTGATGCGAGACCACCACTATTTGAGCATGAGGGCTAGAAAATATGATTGGCCTACACCATAGACGACATAACCCCTCCTTAGGAAGACGTTGGTTGTCCTTTGTCCATCGTGATTCTACTCCTTGGCATCCCCCAAATCCGGCATTTTGTCGACCCCCTTGACTTCCAGGTTCTGCCGCAAGATACGGACTAAATAACGTGCCTTGCTCACATTTCCCTGGTTACCTGTGACAGCGGCCACTTCTCAAAATGCCGGTAGGTCCGGCTGGGGCAGCCTGCTAAAAGTCAACGTGATATTTGGGGCCACAGTGGCAGACCAGTATAGAAGAGACCAGAGCACTGATATGATTCGATATATGAGCAAGTACGAATCGCTATTCCTCTGGCATTAAGATAGGGAAAGTCGGTTTCTTATTGTGCCAATTCTGCTGCTGTAATCCTCCCGTTGGAGTTAGAGAAACAGGCCATGGTGTGTTGGCGCGATGCGGGCTCTGGGCTGATCACTCGACATAGCACTTACTGTCTAGAGGAGCTTGCATGAGTTGATTTTGACTCCACAGAGCCGACGTCCCGGACACGAGCGCTCTAAAGGAAGCCGTCGCCAAAATCAGCAGTTTATGGTGAATGAACGCGACCTGCACGCTCTCCGAAGCCCTGGCCTGATTTGAGACAGACACCACCGTAGCTGTATGAGTGAGATAGCCTACATTCCCTACTCCATAGAACCGCTGTCCGTAGGTCTGATATTCCCTCTCTAGATAGCCTTATCCGGACACGACTGGCATCCTCAAGCGCGTGCATAGGGGAAGTTTCTCTCTTTCAAGGACGGCACTGAAGAGGGGCCGGACTCGCAAGTATGATAGAACCTGGCCGATGTATCCTGGGTCTTTGGCAATTGCCGAGCAACATTTAACTGTCATCGCTCAGCCTACACCGCATCCGCTCCGCGGCCAATATGTCCTGGCGAGGAAAGGGATGTAAGAATAACAATCTGCCGCTTGTCAATCCGCTACAATCCTATCCCTCGGTTGCCCAAGCGAACCATTCTTGTATTGCACCAACAGAGCCTCTATAGAGGCCTTGGATGCGCGAAGACGAGGTGGATATGGTAATGAGCTGAGCATCATCTTCCACGATTCCCGCCGTGCAGAACATTTATACCACATTCTGGACGTATGCCAAGGGTCCAGCTTCGGAACTAACTTCAGCTTGCCATTATATACGTGTAGCTTTCGAACTGCTGGCATCGTGAAGAGGTCTCCAAGCACGGCGTAACACCGCACATCATTCGAATCAACGTTGGGCTGGAAGATAGCAAGAAAAGTCTCAATGCGGTGGTCCCCACTCTCAGAGAAGTGGAAACACTTGAGTCTGGACACATCCGCAATGGTGATGCTTAACTGTATGGTTGGTGACCAACAGATGGTTTCGTTGTTGAATTTGCGCAGTGAGGAATTTTTACGTTGTTGTTAATGGGACCTCTAACCACTGAAAGTATTCAACCGAACAATAACTGCAGTGGAGCAAGAGGAATACGGGTTAGCATGCTATTCTGGGATGGTACTGGCGTTTCTCCATGGAGGCGTGCCCAGCAGTAGTGTAGACACATGTGTTGATAAACGAGGTGCTCATCGGAGATCGAGATTTGCAGAAGGAGCGGTGTGACGATCTACCTTCCGCAATAGCTTTTTGCCTGCATTAGGAGAAACCTTGTTTCTAGATCTAGCGAGACGAGTAGCAAGTCTTCCAACTAGCACACCGAATAGGTAAAAGATCGCCAACATGCAGTCTGTCAGCTCAGCTCTGTAGTTTGGGACAACTAAGTAGCTGCAGACTTCAGCTACTGGTGGGTCCTACATCATACATACCATATATGGCTGGCTGGTATGTAGTAGATCCTCTCCCTAATTTGGCTCATGGGGCCATGGCACATCATGTGGGTGATTAATCATTTACTCTGTATGAGACAGATTCACCCTACTCAAGTACGCAAAGCCAAATCCTTTTATTTCTAGAAATGACTAGAATAAACTGAGGTGGTTATAATTAACCCCACACGCCTCTTTTCCACTCGTTATACCTCTTTCTCACCATATCTCCCTCTGCATTCTGTTTAACGATTTCCCACCAAACGCGACAAACGAACAATAGTTATACTTGACTGCTACTTCAGCACACTTCTCCTACCGAGCAAAATGACGAAGGCCGACACGTACGAGTCCATCGCTGATTCATATCAGGCCGCCTACGCAACAGACCACGTGGTCCTTCACTTTCTAGATCGCGCCTTGGGACACTTGGCCCCAGAGTCCCGTATCTTGGATGCCGGCTGTGGGACTGGAAACCCTGTTTCTGTAGCACTAGTTGAGGCAGGGCACCATGTCAAGGGTATTGACATCTCCCCGGCCATGCTGGACCTGTACAGGAAGAACGTTCCAACGGCCCAATGTGAAGTGACAGACATGTGCTCCTACCAACATCCGACAGAGGAGCCGCTGGATGCCGTGTTTAATATTCGTGCCCTATTTGGCAAGAAGAGGAATGAGATCGAGCATATAATACAGAACTGGGGAACATGGGTACAAAGCGGTGGTCTGCTGTGTATGGTTGTCATTGCCCTCGATGACTACAACCCCGCCAAGATTGTGGGCGGCGTTGATCCAGATGGATATTGTGCAACAGTCAAGAGGCGGTTTATGGGCGAAGACAGTTTGAACGCGTTGTTTTCTCGAGCCGGATGGCGGTACCTATTGGAAACAAACGGGTTTGACATTGTGGAAGAAGAGACGGAGCTTTTCGTGCCACCTGATGAGGTTGACTCCGATGATGCACCGCAGTTTTGTTTCATCGCTCGGAAAATCTGAGACTTGTCTTATACTGTTCCTATCTCACTTGATGTGAATTACTTTTATATCCTTGAGGGAATTCACTATTAGTTACAACTCACTTCTTTCCTTTGACTACAGATTACAGTTGGGGGTTGGCGAGCAAGATGGTAGATCCTGAGATGCAATTAAAGGGCAAATACCTGGCATATTGGCTCGGCAGTTGAATCGTTAAACAGATTATCAGTGGCTCGGTCACTATAGGAGTCCATGCTGGGAATCGAGAGACGGGACATATGTGTGCAGACGTACTTTATCATCATATCAATACAGGCCTTAGGCTGATTTGTGGCGGCTCTGCTATCGCCCCCCCCCCAGACAAAGTCCAGCGATCGGACCTGTCCTCTGTTTCACTGGACTTGCCTAGGAGCCTCAAGGCCGAACTGAACGTAATGTGGAAGTTAATTTACCGGAAGGAGATACTCTTACTCCCACGCATGGTATTCCAGACTGTCGTCGAGGCATTCTCCACCTACAACACAACATATTTCACCGTGTGATCTCGCGCTCTCGCCTCCCTCGTAGCTAGTACGTGTGTGATCATCGTGAACTTCAGGTTAGGGTTATTTCTGGATTGGAAGACGTCTAGGCTGAATACTCACCGGATAACAGCGTTCGTGTTGACCCAGTACTACTTTACTATGAACGATTGCCTGTTTTAACTATTGATGTATATTTATACCGCATTGGCCATAGGATAGCTGACATCGAATGGCCTTACCTGGAAACCCATATATGCGCAGTGTTGAACAGTATCTGTCTCTTTGTCGGCAACATTCATCGGTCGCTTTGACATGTGTGGCTCCCAATCTGCAGCCACTGATGCTGATAATCCAATCAATTAGGGCAGATCCTCTCATGACGCTGGTGGTGTGCGGGGTTGCAGATCCCAAGCCACGATCACGTCTTACCGGCGCATTGCTGACCGAGTCGCGAGTGGGGACACCAAATAATACTCGGTAGCACATCTGACAGTCTGGCTTGAATCAAGATGCGGGGTTGCGACTAGGCTAACTAATAATTAACCTGCGGAGTTGGCAACGACCAAACTCACCTGAAAGCGCTCCCCAACCATGAGTGTCAACAGCGATTATAACGTCCATGACCCCGGATTCCGCGAAGCCAAGCCATCACAAGGAGACCCATCACGACCAGTCGGAGATCTATTTCGTTTAGATGGGCGGACCGTCGTCAGTACGTTGCTCCGACTCTGGCAGTGTCATCGTAAAGGCTGATCAATCAGTAGTAACTGGTGCCAATGGCTTCCTGGGAACTACTCTGGCTATAGCCATTCTCGAAAGTGGAGGTGATGTGGTATGTCTTGATTTACCTGAGGACCCTACTGCGACGAATTGGAGTAAGTCTGCTACCTGACCCATGTAGAATATCAGTTGATTAAAGATGCAACAGAAGAGGTAGAAGATGCCGCATTGAAATATGATCGTAGCTTATCTTACTGGCCGCTGGACGTCACCAATGAGAATATGGTTGCCGATGTATTTGCCAAGTTCATGCCTACACTCCGGTTTCCCCTTCGAGGACTGGTCGTCTGCGCTGGGATCTCGCGGAATGGACCTGCCATTGACTTTCCGATCTCAACAGTTCGTCAGATGCTAGACGTCAATGTCAGTGGAGCATTCCTGGCAGCACAGGCAGCCGCCTGGGAGATGAGGCAGGCAGATGTCAGCGGTAGCATTGTCCTAGTAGCGAGTATGAGTGGCTACGTATCGAACAAGGTAAGCTACCCCCTCAACTCTACTACACCCTTGCCCGAATAACGAAGCATGCAGGGTGTGGACACGGCCGGATATAATGCTTCCAAAGCGGCAGTACAGCAGCTAGCACGATCATTAGCGGCGGAATGGGGGTCGCGAAAGGGTATGCCCCTGATCAGAGTGAACTCGCTCTCACCTGGCTATATCCGCACAGCGGCGACGGCAGAGGCTCTTCAGAAACCCGGCCTGGAATCCCAGTGGATTGGAGATAACATGCTCTATCGGCTGAGCACGGCGGACGAGTTCCGGGCCCCAGTGCTCTTTATGTTGGGCGATGGAAGCAGCTTCATGACTGGTTCTGATTTGCGAGTCGATGGTGGACACTGCGCGTGGTAGGGTATTGGTGCACATGGATGCAACCTTTTAAGTAAGAGGAGATGATACATATTATCTTGGATGAAGACTGGAGTTGTCGTGCTTTCAATCGAGACTCGTACCAGGGTTTAATCAGACGAATGAAAAGACTAGCACGGGGCAAGTGAACCATTATGGTCCCTGCGGTTTATTCACCATTTATAGCCATTGACTCATCCCCGGGAATGCAACTGCAGCGTAGCCTATCTAAGAAAATCCAAGTGCAATCGAAAAGCACAGAAATCGTAATAGTAGGTTAAATGAACATAGGAATGGCGAACTAGTAGAAACAATCACGACCTCGGCACACTCCCTACCACGGAATTCAATTCCACACTACCCCCTTGCAAGACTTCCTCCCAGTTCCTCCTTTTCAACCACGTCTCGAAAGACTCTGTCTGCACGTTCACCTTCAGCTGGCTTGGATGAATCACGCCCTCAATCCCACCCGCATACCCAAACTGCCCAATAAACAAAAACGCATCCAAAACCTCCCAAGGAATACCCATCTGTTCATGCATCTTCCCAGCATCCACCTCAACCAGCTCAGCCTCGGACCCAGTAGCCCTAGTCCAAGCCTCCACAATGTCTCCGATAGTCAAGTCACTATCATACGCGAGCAACCTCGTCCGCGGAGGCTCATCAATCAAGGCCTTGACAAAAGCACCGGTGGATTCTCGCGCAGCGATGATCGGCATCTTCTGCTCTTTGTTCAGCGGCACCATGAACTGGTACCTCTGGATGTCTGGATTCCATCTCGGCATAAAAAGGGGGTTGGTCGCATATGCACCGATGATAATATAGGACGTCTTCTGCGCCAGTTCCGGCGTCTGAGTTTCAATGAATTCCATAATCTCCGCCTTGGCGTCACAATGGTGCGAATGCGGGTACTTCCCGCCAGAATGCTTCTTCATCGGTGCCAATGTGGAATAGACAAAGCGACTAAGAGTGGGCACAGTTGCGGCGGCGATGGCAGCGTTGCGGCCGTGTTGTACCTCTTGCTCATAGGCGTCTTCATAACTTCCGGTTGTATGAAAGGGCCCCCAGAAGTCAATGTTGTTGAATATGACATTAGAGTCGACGAAGGCTAAGCGTAGAGAGGCAATGTCGGCGAGGTCTGCCTTTACTATACTAGCGCCGAGAGAGGCGAGTGTTTGTGCCTTTGGCGAGGAAGGATTCCGCGTGATGCAGCGGACGTGCCAGTCCGGTAGTGGGAGGAAGGCGTCGGCGACGGAGAGGCCTTGGTTTCCAGTGGCGCCGACGATAGTAATGGTTTTCATTTTGATGGATTGCATGCAGTAATCAAAAGGTTGGAATGAATTGTACCCGTAAAGCTCAGTTGACATAGGTCTATATACCGGGTTCGGACAAATTGTAGGGCATGAAGTCATAGTGGCTTACTCTTGGCGTGGAAATTAGGGCTTCCTTCCCATTGGTGAGAAACGCGTAAGCCAACTCCGTCGGCACAACTTAACCTCAGTATCTCCCAACGATGTCCCGTAAGCCATACGCCATGCCCGGAAATAACGACGATAGAATGCCAAAACGCCGGAAGCGAGTTATAACTCCGGCGCGGAAAGAACAGAACCGGGTTGCCCAACGGCTTTATCGTGAGTATACCCAGGATCTTCGCCGAGATTGGAGGCACCGCTAATGGAATCCAGGCCAAAGGCAAAAGGAACGTCTGCAGCGAGAAAAGAATATCGCTGGAGCGTCTTGCACGTCCAGAGCCATACAGCCCGCCCCAGCTGTAAACCAGGTGCCGGTGCAAACTGTAGATTCCATCAACTGTTGTACGGCCGATGGTCCAGCGGTGCATCCAGACACTTCACCGAGGCAATGTTTGGCACCGATGAAGTTAACTCTTGATCATTTGTTTCCTTCGGAGAATACTCCTAATACCCAACATGGCGATGTACATGCCCAGCACATCCAGGAGCATACATCTAATGAGAACATATCGGGCTCAAGTTCAACGGACATAATACTACCTAATCCTTACCACAACACTCTCGAACTAACACATACAATGCTTCTCCGCGCATGCCTTCACAATGCCCAAAGCTTGGGAATCAGCATCAAGCAATTCTTCAGCTATGAGTGCATGTCTCTTTGTTCACCATTCTACCGACCCAACATCACCATGTCGGATGACCCTCACGCCCTCATCAAGAACGTTTCCAGTCCAGCTACCCCTGCGCATCTCCAACCGACACTACCTCAGATCCTCTTTCCTCACCATCCGCTATTAGACCTGCTGCCGTTACCTTCTTTAAGAGCCAGAGCGGTCATGTTAGCTGCTACAGCACCCACATTGATAGATGCCGGAGACCTCAAGAGGGATATCGTCGAAAGGGCGGGTATTATTTGTCAGGGTGAACAGCCCTGGGAGATGCGCAGTTGGGTGGCTGCACCGTGGTTCTTAAAGAAGTGGAAGTTGCTACTGGGCAATCTTTAAGTGATCTTGGACTTATGGAAATTACTTTGAAACTTGCTCGACGGAGTTGTAAAGCTGTGTGTATAAGCTTTTGTTGGTGTCAATAAACCTCCAGAGCGAGTCTCATAGTGCGATCGTTAACTATATACCCTGGCTCCATCTTTCAAAACACGGTATAGCCGGTCACAATTCTTCTCACTGCTTGCGGATGTGAAGTGGACATTGAAATCTGGGAGACCTTCAGCTCACTGCTAATTTATGAGGTTGAGCAGATTGTCAGGGCCGCCGAGGGGTAAGAACCAAGTTCTTGCCGCAAAGATTAAATGTGCTATCACAATGAAAGTGAAAGGGATAGTTCGCCGAAAAGAAAAAGGCAAGGTTTCAAGCATAGAAAGGTACGAACAATATGCCTCTTTATCTTCCTTGACTCACAGCGGTCATTCCTGGGGGATCATGCAGTCATATGGGAGACCATGGCAGGGCAGCCTTGCAATTGCCTATTTATGTGTGGTGACTTCAGATTCGCTCGGGCATAGGGGGTGAGGCTCCCATAATATCGCTGAAATATAGAATTGAATTTACATAGATTTGTCAATGAATACTAAGTCTCGTATTATGACGTGTTGTAGAATAGTTTTTCTAAGTGGCATGGAGTGAGGGTTGATAGGTCTCTAGTATGGACTGCCACTGCGGAGAGTCCATGAGCAGCGTATTGGGTACCTCTCTCTCGATGTACTGTATCACAGAAAAACAGTCAGAACTTGGTTCTAAAAGCCTTGAACAACGGATGGCCACGGGGAAACTTACATCACGGTACTTGCTTTCCATTCTCATTCTCAGGAAGCATTTGAACGGCATTGTATCCTTGGTGAAAAACTCATGCAGCTTTGCTCCAGGTGAATCTTGGCCAGCGCCCAAGATTGTCGATAATGTTTCCAGGGTGATTGCCCATCCACCATGGTTCTCCAATCCCAATGCTTCAAGGAGTAACCCGACGTGATTCTGGAGGAGTGAGTGATGCACCTTGCTCCAGACATTGTCCAGATTATCCGTCAGGGTCGCTCCTCCAGGGGGTAAGGAGTCGAATTTCACGCCATGGTTCTTCAATGTCGGAACATGCATTCTGACACCGCCAAAGTCGCGGACAGCGAATCCTTTGATCTGGCCCGTCTGGCGGCAAACACGGGCTACTAGGTTCTGCCCATGGCCCTCTAGTCCGATTCCATACTGAACCAATGGAGGGAGCACGAGGCTAAATAGGACTGTAACATATCTGTTGGTAGATAAATTAGCCTGCATTCTCCATGTTAACCAAGATCGATGAGGTCGGCCAACTTTCGGAACCACTCCTGTTTCTGGGCGATTGTTTCCAGATTGTATAAAATCTCCACATGTGTACGGCTGTCTCCATAAGGGTGCTGGGCCAATGCCGCAGCGATGATAAGAACTTCACCATTTGCTTCTGCTCTGCTCTCCAAGCTATCTCGCAGAATACAAGAGAGATGGCGCGCCTCGTTGAAATCTTCTTGGCTGCCTGAGACAGCTGCTACCTCTCGGAAAACCCACAGGTCGTCTGGCAGAAATCTTTCCAAGAGTGCCGTTTGAACTGGGCCGCCGCATGTTGTCCAAGGCGTGATGGTTCGTATAGCGGAGGTAATCTGACACGCCAATGAGAGTTTCAGATGGTAGTCGAATTCTAGCTCTGGGCTTATGGTAAGGGTCCGCATAGATGCCTGAGCATCAGCGCAGTTTGTGACAAGTTTCAGAATGACAGCCCCTGGGAATCTCTGGTGAACAGATGGCAGCTGTTGAGCGAGACAGGGGACGGTCACTCGATCCCTAGTTGTTTCTGGGATGTCTAGCTGTTGCAGTAGAGGTTGCAATTCTCGCTCAAACTGACCCGTTATACGTAGATTGTCGCGTGGCACTGACACAAACGCCAGAGTGGGCTTCAGCATCCCAGGGATATCTTCAGGACTGACGGGCTTCAGGGGTGCTTGAGCCTGGCACAACCGGTGGTACTTTGAGTTCAAAGATTAGATTCCAACAAGATGCTTAAGATGTCATCTCAGGGGTCATACAGGATGGCTCGGATGGCCATAGATCAATGCCCGTTCCCATTCCACAGATTTATTCTCCAAACTCAACGATTGTTGATCCTGGCTAATCTCCAGCCATTTTTCTGCAGGTCTTTTAATACAACAAACGGAGAGATAAAATCTCGAAGTGCTCACCTTGGTTCTTTGCCGAGTTGCGTAGCTCTTGGGCTATAGTTTCCAGTACCGTCTCATCCGCAACATCCTTAAATGAGGCACTTAGAAACCTGAATATTGCGCCAGGGTCCAGCTCTTGATGTCTAGTATCTCCGAGAACCACAGGTGGCTGCAAGCTAGCTGGTCGGATGACAGAAATTACGCGGTTCTTTTTCATCTCAATGACGGTGCCGGGTTTGATCCCGACCTTAGCCCAGATACCATCTTGGGGATTCAGTAAGCAAAGCGTTTGTGACCCTCCTGGAGCAGTCACTTCGACCTTCGCATTGACTAATCCTTCGTTGACTACTTCGGCGAGAACTCGTCTCGTTGTCTCGAATAGAGCTTGGTCGTGCCTAGAGAGGACTGTCATGATGTCTGTCGAAATTGTAGGGAGCTTCACACGATCAAACATCTATCTCCCAGGATGCAATCCATTACTTCCCCTTAAATAGCCCAGCTGGTCCTGGTGGGGGCAGCTACGGTAGGATGGTAGCACGTTACCTGAGGCTAAGTTTTCGTAGTCTGACCTCAGGGCAGCAGCCAGCTTCGTAATTCGGACTGTCCTATTTGCTACCATACTCTAATCTCTCACGCCGCCCACTATGACCTATCATCACTATTTTGTCGATCTCTATGGTGGGATCTCGACGCGTTGTGGGACCGCAGATCGGCCGATTCGGGAAAGATCCGACCAAGCTGAGGTTGTGATTCACGAAAGTATCTTTTGTTGGAGACCTATACGAATAGATATAAAGCATCTGGGTTGTTCATCTCCCCACGAGTCCTTTATTTTACCAACCTTCACGGTGAGAAAACAATTCAATTTCCCGTCATGGCTGCAGCAATTGAACAGGTTCCTTATTTTCCGAATCGGAATGATTATGAATCGCGCACATTTGATCATTCACGAGAACAGTCGACAGAAACAGACCTTCCTAATGGATTTCCCAAAAGGCTATTGTCAACGATGGCTTGGGAAAGAGAGGATGTCTCCCTGGAGCACGCTCCAGCTGGTGGGACTCCATACCTGTTGATCTTACAGGGTCCGCAGTTGGCCGAGATCGATGCAGCGCTCAGACACTTTCAACGTCAGCAGGCCACAGCCGCAGTTGCTTTGATGTCTAATTTATAGCTGACTTGTCAACTGCAGGTTTGGGGCAGCCAATGGAAACCCTTGACCCGTCAACGTTTCCTCTTCCGTGCCTGCACTCGGTTCTCCGGTCCGTATCGGACAATCTACATTCGGGCTATGGCTTCACGCTCATTCGTGGAGTTCCCGTGGAACGTTATACTCGTGCAGAAAACATCATCATTTATGTCGGCATCTCATGCCACATTGCCGCCATCCGCGGCCGCCAAGACCATCAATTTGAGGGGCAGCCCGCAGACGTGATGCTGGCCCACATAACCGACATGCGGCGGCCAGGCGACGTGCAAAATTACGCACTGGCAGCATATTCCGACAGCGAGGTGGTATTCCACACCGACGTGGGGGATATCGTGTCCCTCTTTGTGCTAAGCGAGCCAGCAAGTGGCGGTGAAAGTCTGCTGGCGAGTGGATGGACAGTGTACAATGCGCTGGCGGAGACCCGCCCCGATCTGATCCGCGTATTGGCGGAGGACTGGCCGATCCCTAGGTGTGTGGAGAAATCCCCGCTGAGCCTACTAATGAAATGACCTGCTTGACTAGCCATTGACTCTGTTCTGCTAGCGCACAGGAACCCGGAGTCTTTAAGTACCGACCACTGCTGTATCACCAGCCGAGCTGCGGTTTAGCCCCTGAACGGATGATCTTGCAATTCTCGCGGCGGTCATTCTCTGGGTTCGGAACCCACTCCCAGCTGAACATGCTCTCTTCCACCCAGATCGAGGCGCTGGATGCGCTCCACTTTCTGGCGGAGAAGCATCATGTGGCAATGGAGCTGAAACAGGGCGACATGCAATTCATCAATAACCTTAGTATGATCCATGCTCGCAATAGCTACGTAGACGATCCCGAAAATCGGTATGTTGGCGCCTTTGTGTCCTGACATGCGACCATTCATATTGGCTAATTCGAGGCATATCCAGACGACACCTACTACGCCTGTGGCTTCGTGATCCCCAAAAGTCCTGGGTCACGCCTGAGCCACTGCGCAGTCGTGCAGATCGGATTTATAACGAGAACTACCGACGCGGTCCGCAGATTTTCCCTGTGGATCCGATCCCGAGGTCGGTGGGGAAGGCTAGAAGAGATTGAGATGATACGTAGAATGCAACTATCATGATTAGTACTTTTGGTAAAGTACGTGATTATTATGGATTTTCAGCTTTGTTTCAGACCTGCTGTAGATGCGGCATTTTACGGTATTGAATGCTATATCTTGGGAACCACTTCATAGGGCTTGAACCTATTGTAGAAGATGCGCAAATCACGATGATCTTGGTCAGTTTGCGGCTGAAGCGATAGGTTATTGAAGTTTGAAAATCGGATCGGATCCACCCAGAGCTTTTTCACCTCTCGGGGTCAAGTGAATGCCGAGAAAAATATTATCGCATAGCATGTGAGATAGAATAAGCATAGATATCCAGTCTTTTTAATGGTGCGCCCGTGTTTCCATCCTCCGAGATCCCCAGGAATCAAGCAGCGCTTGACTTGACATCCACCTCTCCCCAGGGTTCCCATTAATCGAGGAGCTACAGCCTCAACAGTTCTCCCAAGGACCATTCGTGTCCGCATCTGGACATACTCTATGGCCCATCAAGATGGAAAATAACAGAGTCTAGCTACTCTGGAGTATTTCCTATGAGACTCGTTGGGTTCTTCTGCCTTGGTAGGTGATGAACATCCGATCGGCGAGATACCGGTCCGGTGCATGTCGGTGAGCTTCCTGCATTGCCCATCGGACTGTGGCAGTTCACGACTAAAACCAATGAATTCCAAGAGTCACAAATAGGCCTTGGTATCATTCACGTAGCACTTTCCTCAGGCATACGGCTCTGGGTGCATGCCTGGAATGGTTGCGTATATTTGAACATCGCATTGCACTTCCGTTGAACTAGCAGGCGTTCATCATCCATTTGAGTGAATTTCACAAAGTACACTTTGTGATTTCCATCTGAACGTTCCACCATAAATGAGCCATGCTGATTGAATTCCATATGCCAAGGTGAGGTGCGGAAACCAAGATCTGGGTCGGAGGTCAGCAAGGGTATTTCTGTATAAGCGACATATATGGTCTCGTCTGGGATGATGTGATGGCCCGAGTCGGCACTATTGTATTGTATTGTGTATGAAGGTTAGCCTTGTACACAGAAACGTAAATGTAAGTTGACGGCTTAGCGACACAAGCACTCAAGATTTAATCAACAAATACAGCAGGACAGCTCTCGTTGGAAAGTAAGTCAGTGAGATCGCAATCGTTTATCATTTAATATTTATCCAATATTCGGTCCAACATGTCAAAGGGGGCATCGCATGCTCATTGTTAAGGCGTCAAACCCGCGCATAATCTTACGGCTAACTAGCGGTGGGTTGTAGTACAAGATCCCCCGAGCCATTAGCTGGTTGTGCAATTCTCAGTGTCCAGGAGGTTATATTTATTGAGGATGAGGTCGGGTCTAAGGACCTCACATGACCATGTCCTTGTCGGTTGCCCGAATTAAAATCTGGGCATTTCATTCAAATCTGCCCCACTTACGTCGTCACAGTGCATGCTCGAAGAGAAGAAAAGAAAAGAAAAATGTCATATTGGACGGTAGATGGGCGGCGTTTCATGTTTACACGAGCTGTGGCCCAAACACTGTTGGGGATGATTACGAAACGTGACGCTGGAGAAACATTAGCCTATCCGCGCGTTCCGTTCCTATTTTCGAGCTTCATGACCAGACTCCACCCCAATTCTGGCTCTGGAAGGCCGGGCACGGGCGTCTTGGCGGCTGCGCCTCGTGGGGAGGATGAAGAATATGCTGCGGGTGATGAATGATGCGGCGCCAGTGGTGGGTGAGGTTCGGCTCACGCTCTGGCATACTCTAGCAATGCGCCTATGTAGGTCAGTCTCGTCGTATAATCTTCTTCAATATGGTACCTGACTTATGTTTTCTGGAAACTGGACTCTGGGGTGCATATAGGCGAATCTCAAACATGTTCCACTCCCAAGAACTTCTAGGCAGCAGAGCATTCTTAGCGCGCGCCCCCTTACTCGGCATTATTCACAGCTCCCTTGGAAGCAAACAGGGGGAATTTTTACCCCTTTATATGGAAACCGTGCCAATATGGCAACGTCCGAGAATATAGCCACATCCATGCAACTCATATCGCGATGAAAGCTTACCTGTACCGCCTGTACCGGAGAACGCGCCGACTCCGACTAGCCCTTTCATTGGTCATCGTGGGATGGACCCTAGTAGAAGTGCTACGCATTAAATACACGCTTGTGCAACAATCAGAGCCCGAGCCCGTTACACTAGGAAATGAAAAGATCTACATCACCGGCCTTCACTGGAACAGCGAGCAGATCCTACGGGAAACATGGATCGCGGCCGTAGTGGACCTGGCCAATGCGATCGGCCGGGATAACGTCTTTGTCAGCGTACAAGAAAGTGGCAGCTGGGACGATACTAAAGGGGCATTGCAGCTCTTAGATCAGCAGCTGGCGGAACATGATATTCCAAGGAGAATTCTCATGGATTATACCACTCATTTCGACGAGATCAGTAAGCCTCCTGCTGGCGAGGGGTGGATTGAGACGCCGATGGGGACAACCGAGCTACGCCGGATACCGTATCTGGCCAAATTACGGAATGTAGCAATGGAACCGTTTTATGAGCTGCAGAGTGACGGTGTTATATATGATAAGATTCTGTTCTTAAATGACGTGGTTTTCACCGTAAGTAACTAAGAATTGAGAAAATACAATATGCCCATACGTCTCCTAACGCATGCCCTAGACTCCCGATATTCAGAAATTACTCTGGACAAGAGGAGGGAACTACGCAGCAACGTGCTCGCTCGACTTCTCCAAACCGCCCAATTTCTATGACACCTTCGCCCTCCGCGATGCAGAAGGCCATGACATGCTCATGCAATCTTGGCCCTACTTCCGATCTCGAGCATCCCGCCAGGCCATGAAAGACAGTCAACCCGTGCCGGTCACGAGCTGTTGGAACGGCGTAGGTCAGTAAACCAACCTATTCTAGTCACCACCAATCGATCATTAACAATCAATCGTAGTGGCAATGGATGCTGCCCCGTTCTACCATAATCCACTGTTAAAATTCCGCGGTATCTCCGACAGTCTTGCCCGATCACACTTGGAAGGCTCCGAGTGCTGCCTTATTCACGCGGATAACCGTTTATCCAGGGAGAAGGGAGTCTGGCTTAACCCCAACGTGCGTGTGGGGTATAATTCCCCTGCGTATGTGGCCGTTAATCCGGTGGAAAATTCATGGTTATCGACATTTGCCATAGCTAGCGGATTATGGAAGAATCGGTTCCTGCGGTGGGTTACCACGCCATGGTTCAAGGAAAATATAGTCTGGACCCGGTTGTGGAAGTGGGAAAAGCTATCGCACGAGAATATAGAACCTGGGCCTTTCTGCCTGGTTAATGAAATGCAGGTTCTTACGGAGAATGGATGGGCGCATCGGTAGTGGCTTTGTTTTAGTCAGTTGTATATACAAAAGAAATCAAGCTTCACAGTGTATCTCACGGTATGCACCGGGCACGTTCAAGCGACTTGAATTGAGCCAATTTCAAACCCAAATTTCTAGCAAACCCACCAAATTCAAGGTTTATGCGATCATATCAAGGTTATCACTCTTGCTGATCGCCAGATATACACTTAGTGCATTATTCTCCACACACCATAGGGCCTACCAATGCCGATCGCGCTGATCACAATACATCATACCCAGTTTCTAGATATATACCTCAGCCAATTAAAGACCAAATCTTAGTAGTTAGAATTTTACCACATCGAGGAGCTGGTATGCTCTCAGTTAAGACCTAGTTAGCTTCACATAGGGGCTGTCGTACACAATGTGCGCAATTGCGCACACCTTCAGGTAACTAACTATAAAGGGAACTATACGTGGATACATCAATGATCTGCAACTGGAATTATCCAACAATCAAAGTGCTGACCTGTTCTGATCTTGTAGTCTTGCCAGTTCTCGCACCAGTCGATAAACATACATTGTCAGATCAATTCTCGGAAAGCTTTCGTGTACCATGCCCGGCCTCCTGTGGCCACTCGCTCTCCAGCTTTAGTAGGTGTGAGATAAGATACTATGTCAGGAAACTCGCATGATTTTGCTACCAGGCTGGGATCAAGATATGCAGGGCTATGCTATGACATCACCGTGATCGAAGTGCTGACACCAATCGTTGCGGACTGGAGTTCATATAAAAAAAACAAAAAATCCACATCAACTTGATTCCGAAGGAATCTCTCCATCGTCTATTAAACTCCGATATGTTTAAATAGAGATATCTGACATGTATTTCATTCTCTTTATTCATTTGCGTTTAATAAAGAAAGTCTTTGTAAGAAGAGCCTTGATATACAGACAGGCCCGGTCGTCACTGGGCCAAAAGGTCACTATCATCAGACCCTATAGTCTGATGTGTCTGGATCGAATGTTGAATAGCTAGACGTTGAGTCCAGCCACCAGTGTGAAAGCTACCTGATAACTATCCAATAGCCCATATGAATCCTGAAGTGCTCCGATATTACCATCTACGTAATTTATAATATTCTAATCGCAATATATTCTCGTCCAGAGGCATAGCCCGCCTAACCCTTTTTATACTAGGTATCCCGTGATCACTGGCTAATCAGTATCCGAAAGCATGCCGTTAAGTAACCACCGTATAACTAGTTTACTAGTTAGCGATGGGAAGCGCCTAAATGCCCGCCTTCATTGTATACCCTATTTAGATCTTTGATATACACAATATAGACTCTGGTTAATCTTCAACTGTCTACATTTTTTAGGCTTCCTGCGGCTTCTATTCGCTTCTGAAGAAGTGTGCTAACTACGGAAAGGTAGCTTGGGCTACAAAATAAAAAACGAAAAGGAGGAAGAAAGACGAAGGGGTTATCTAATACATTGTATTTCCAATTATAGGAGAAATGCGATGTATTATGGAAGAGCTTTCTATGACAGACTTTGACTAAGGTATCGCAACCAGCAATCAGACGCGAATCTACGGCCACCGAGGTGGATGGTAATGGTAGCAGTAGACAAAAGGCATAG